TTTGAGACAGAGTCTTGCTTTGTCGCCCCTGGCTGGAGTGCAGTGGCACAATCTCAGCTCACTGCAACCTCCGCTTCCCAGTTTCAAGCGATTCTCCTGCTTCAGCCTCCCAAGCAGTTGGGACTACAGGCACCCGCCACTATGCCCAGCTAATTTTTGTATTCCTAGTAGAGACAGGGTTTCACCATGTTTGCCAGGCTGGTCTCAAACTCCTGACCTCATGATTGACCTGCCTTGGCCTCCCAAAGTGCTGGGATAATAAGTGTGAGCCACCACACTCAACCAAATTTTTGGATTTTTAGTAGAGATGGGTTTTCACCATGTTGGCCAGGAGGGTCTCAAACCCCTGAGCTCAGGTGATCTGCCCACCTTTGCCTCCCAAAGTGCTGGGATTACGAGCATGAGCCACAGTGCCCAGTCCCTGATATGGCTTTTTTTTTTTTTTTTTTTTTTTTGAGACGAAGTCTCACTCTGTTGTTTAGGCTGGTGTGCAATGGTGCAATCTCAGGTCACTGCTCAGGTCACTGCAACCTCCACCTCCCAGATTCAAGTGATTCTCCTGCCTCAACTTTCCGAGTAGCTGGGACCACAGGTGCTCACCACCATCCCTTGCTAATTTTTGTATTTTTCGTAGAGATGGGGTTTCGCCATGTTGGCCAGGCTGGTCTCGAACTCCTGACCTCAGATGATCCGCCTGCCTCAGCCTCGAAAAGTCCTGGGATTACTGGCATGAGCCACCGCGCCCGGCCTGATCTGGCAATTCTTATGGGTATATGCCAAAAATAATTGAAAGCACTACCTCCAACAGATATTTGTGCATTCGGGTTCACAATAGCCAAAAGGTAGGAACAACAGATGAATGCATCAACAAAATGTGGTATACACATACAACGGAATTTCATTCATCCTTTAAAAGGAGGAAGATTCTGACACATACGACAATGTGGATGAAACTTGAGAACATTATGCTAAGTGAAATAAGTCAGTCATGAAAGAACAAATTCTGTGTGATTCCACTTATACGAGGTTTCTAGAGCAGTCAAATCCAGAGACGGAAAGTAGCGCCGTGGTTGCCGGGAGTTATGGGGATGGAGGAATGGTGAGTTAGTGTTTAATTGGTAAGGAGTTTCAGTTTGGGAAGATGGAAAAGTTCTGGAGTTGGATAGTGGTGATGGTTGTACAAAATATGTGAATGTATTTAATGCCACTGAATTTTACACTTGAAATTATTAATAGTAAATTTTATGTTATGTGTATTTTACCAAAATAAAAAATCAGCCGGGCGTGGTGCTTTTGCCTGTAATCCCAGCACTTTGGGAGGCTGAGTTCTAGAGGTCAGTAGTTCTAGACCAGCGTGGCCAACATGGTGAAACCCCATCTCTATCAAAAATACAAAAATTAGTCGGGCATGGTGGCACATGCCTGTAATCCCAGCTACTTGGAAGGCTGAGGCAGTAGAATTGCTTGAACCTGGGAGGTGAAGATTGCAGTGAGCTGAGATCATGCCACTGTACTCCAGCTTGGGTGACAGAGTGAGACTGTCTCAAAAAATAAATTAATTAGGTCAGGTACAGTGGCTCACACCTGAAATCCCAGTCCTTTTGGAGTCTGAGATGCAGATCGCTTGAGCCCATGAGTTCAAGACCAGCCTGCGCAACGTGGTAGCACCCTGTCTCCACCAAAACAAAACATAGTGGGCATGGTGACGTGCACCCGTAGTCCCAGCTACTTGGGAGGCTGAGGTGGGGGAGGATTGCGTGAGCCCAGGAGTTCATGGTGGAATCCTATCTCCGCCAAAATAAAAAAAATAACTGGGAGTGGTGATATGCACCTGTAGTCCCAGCTACTTGGAAGGCTGAGGTGAGGGGAGCATCGCTTGAGTCCAGGAGGTCGAGGCTGCAGTGAGCTGAGATTGCAAGGCTGTACTGCAGCCTGGGTGACAGAGCCAGACCCTGCCTCAAAATAAATAAATAAAATTCGTTAATTAATTAAATAAAAACTGATGCTGCAGAAAGGAACAAACAATCACAAACCCAATGCTAGTCGCTGCGTTTGGTGCTCTGCTTACTTTTCTCTTGCGAACAGCAAAGTGTGGAAGTGCCGCTACGTACTCAGTTGCAACCTAAGCTTTGAGGTCAGAGTCTCTCAGCTGTGAAATTCTGCCAGGTGCTGGGGGGTAGTTTAGGAGCATAATCCTCACAGTTGGAGAGGAAATGTTTTCTGGGGAAAATACAAGGCAGGAGTGGATTAAGCACTTGCCAAGAGTGTGAGTTAGTGTTTAATTGATATGCAATTAAGCACTAATTAAAAATACAAAAATTAGGCCAGTGTGGTAGTATGCACCTGTGGCTACTTGAGAGGCTGAGGCAGGAGAATCACTTGAATTTGGGGAGATGACTTGATGGAACCCCGCGGGAGAAACTATCTGTTAGATGTGGGAAGGGGGAAGAGGAGCAAAGAGATGGACCACAGGGTCTTCCCCGCCTTCTTGGATTCTCTGTAGCTTGCGGTGGCCCCCCACAGCTCCCCAACGTTCTGGCCATATCCCCAGGCTTAAGAAGGAGGAAAGGAAGGTTCCTCTCATGCCTCAGACCCCAGCCGCACTCAGTCCACCATTCCCATCAGCAATGTCAGGAAGATGCTCTCACCAGCAAGCCAGCGCTCACCTCTGCTCCCTTCATCCACATCTCTAGTTTGTCCAGATTGCTGGCGATCAGACTGGGGAGAGATGTGTCAGTCAGCTTCCCCAGCTTCCATCATGACCCCCCCTTCAAGCCTCCTTTCCCCACTTCTCCCCTCAACCACCTGTTCTCCCTAACTTCACCTCTCCCCTCCGCCTGTCCCCACTGGAAGGTTTATTGTTACCCACTCACTCTCATGACTCCACCCACTCTGCTTCCATTTCAGTTGCTTCAGTGTGGGGCTAAGAGCTGAAGGACTGGATGCCCCCTCCTCCGGGAGCCACGTGGGCTTTCACTGGGCATGTGCCCACCCACCCACTGTGACCTGTTGACCTGGTGATATGCATTCCCTGGAAGAGGCCATCTCACTGGTTTCCTCTCTGGATTCCTCCTTGGAGTGCTGGAAGGTGAGAGGAAGTGAGGATCAGGCAGAGGCTGGGGCTGATAGACACCTGGGGAAGCCTTCCGGTAGAAAAAGCCTATGGCAGGAAGACCTTTATCACACTTGTGGCTATGAGTTGGATCCTCTTGGATTTGCCTCAAGGCTTCCCTAAGAATCTTTTTTCTTTTTCTTTTCTTTTCTTTTGAGACAGAGTTTTTGCTCTTGTTGCCCAGGCTGGAGTGCAATGGTGGAATCTTGGCTCACTGCAACCTTCGCCTCCCAGATTCAAGCAATTCTCCTGCCTTAGCCTCCCAAGTAGCTGGGACTACAAAAATTAGCCACCATGCCCAGCTCATTTTTGTATTGTTAGTAGAGATGGAGTTTCACCATTTTGGCCAGGCTGATCTCAAACTCCTGATCTCAGGTGATCCACCTGCCTCGGCCTCCCAGAGTGCTGGGATTACACGTATGAGCCACTGAGCCTGGCCATAATCTTTTCCTTTATTAAGTGTCTGTCTAAAATAGACTTCAAGTTACCTGTGGCAGCTGGAGACCCTACTGTTAGCAAGTAAGGAAAATAACCGTCAGCTTCTTTACTCCCCAGGTGCTGGGCGGAGGGGAACACAGGCCAGAAAATACTACTACCAATGATTGTGATAAAGAGCTCCACAGGGGCCAGATGTGGCGGCTCAAGCCTGTAATCCCAGCACTTGTGGAGGCCAAGGTGGGACGATTGCTTGAGCCCAGGAGTTCGATACTCGCCTGGGCAACGGCAAGATCCTGTCTCTATAAAATATAAAAAATTAACCAGGCATGATGGTGTGGGCCTGTGATCCCAGCTACTTGTGAGGCTGAGGTGAGAGGATCACTTGAGTCTGGGAGGTCGAGTCTACAGTGAGGTGTGATTGTGTCACCTGCACTCCAGCCTGGACAAGAGGGCAAGGTCCTGTGTTTAAAAAAAAAAAAAAAAAAAAAAGTGGCTGGGCATAGTGGCTCATGCCTATAATCTCAACACTTTGGGAGGCCGAGGCAGGTGGATCACGAGGTCAAGAGATCGGAGACCATCCTGGCCAACATGGTGAAGCCCCATCTCTATGAAAAATACAAAAATTAGCTGGGCATAGTGGTGTGCAATTGTAGTCCCAGCTACTCGGGAGACTGAGGCAGGAGAATCGCTTGAACCCAAGAGGCGGAGGTTGCAGTGAGCCAAGATTGTGCCACTGTACTCCACCCTGCATGATGGAGCAAGACTCCATGTCAAAAAAAAAAAAAAAAAAAAGGCTCCCCAGGACCCAAGGAAGCTGCCCAGAGCTTTCTAAAGAGGCTCCCTGCTGCAGCTCTGCAGAGGAACGGGCTGTGCTGGTGCCCCTGCTTTAAGGATGCTTGCAGTTTGCTCCTGTTGGCTCACTAAGATCTGACGGCTCCTGCCCCCTCTTAGTGAAGACGCCAGGAAGCAGCAGCCAAGCAGCAGTCGTGGCTGCCTCCCAGTGGCCCCAGCTGTAATCTTCTGTTCAAGGTGCCCACACCAGATCTCAGCTGCAGCAGGCAGACAGGCTTCAGCTGCCCTAAGAGCTGGCTCTGCAGCTGGTGACTCAGCGGGGGTTGGTGCGGGGAGGGAGTGGGGTTTGGCCCTTGGGGCCTGAGGGTCCAGCACTGGTGACAACAAAGTCCAGGGGATGTTGTGCAGAAGACCGGAGCTTGAGTCCCCAGAACAAGCCCAGCAGCAGAACTGCAGTTGAATAAATCCCCAGTAATTCCATTTATGCTACTGAATCTTCCCTGTGGGTTCAGAAAAACAGATCACTGCTTCATGCTTCCTAAAAATGCAGCCTGAACCAAGGCCTAAATTCCACAGCCAAGTGACCCCTCTTTCTCTTTTCTGTTACCCACCTTCCTCACAACACACCCCCCCAAGTCCACAGGAACATCCCGAACGATGTGGGTGGAGATTTTCCTTTATTTGTTTTTATTTTGGAGAGGAAGGGCTGGAGCAAAAAGATGATGCCAGCACACTGAGCACTAGAATGGCCCCTGCACATGCAGAATCCACGGACACTCACGCTGGACTAGCGACTCAGCAAATATGCCCCAAGGAGAGAATGTCATCAGAGCTGCAAAAGCCCTCCCCAACTTTTATTGGTTTTAAGACCCCCACCCATATTCACCCCAGGTCACCTGTCATTCTCAGTAAGCAGGCCTCCTACCAAACTGGGCTTTTACTCCTGTGGGCTTAGCGCCGGATGCCCCCCAAGTAAACATGCACCCTCTGGAGTAAAAGGGAAATCGACAGGATGCTGGAATGCAGAGAGATGGTACGCTTCATTTTTCATCATTCACCGGTTTGGGAGAATGGCCGCTTTCCATCACACCAGTAAGAGGCGGGAAAGAAGGACTGGGCCCTTTCCCGTCTCCCAGGCCTTGTGTAACAAGGCCCTGGCTGCTCACACTCCGGCCCTGCCTGACTTTAAACAAACCCAGTCCACAGCCTTCCACCTTTTCCCTTGGGAAAAAGACATTTGAGAGCTCACAGATACAGTGCTCAACCAATGATCCAAACCAACAGCTTCTCTTGCTCAGCTTCTGTTCTACCCAAAGGTCTCATCCTGCTCCCCCAAGGGGATTTCTGACATCTGAAACCACCAAACCTGACTCCAGGCCTCCCCCACAATGTATGGTCCCCATGGAATGTGTTTCATTGCCGAAGCCTCTCACCACCCAGCCTCCCTGCATTCCCCCAGTGGTCTTGGGTTTTTCTCAGCATCTCTCCCGGTGGCTTGCTGTAGTGTCCCGACTCGGAGGTGTCCAGGGTGGCCGGGGAAGGGTCAGGTGCCTTTGCTTTCTGTCCTCTCCTCGTCAGCCGTCTGAGCGTTGCTGACAGTGCGAAGCTGCCCCTGGGCTGCAGGCTTCACCGACAGGACCAAGCGTTTGCGGAACGTCTCACAGAGCACGATGTACACAAAGGGGTTAAGGCAGCTGTTGGCGTAGCCCAAGCTGATGGCTGCGTTGTACAGGTAGACAAAGGTGAGGGTGGGGCGGCTGATGGACAACTGGGTCAGCTGTAGCACATAGTAGGGCGCCCAGCACACAAAGAAGACCAGGCAGATGGCAATGGCTGTGCGGGTCACCCTCTTTGTCCGCAGCCGGATGCTGCGCTGGGAGGCGGGAGCCACCGAGGATGTCATGCGCTGCAGGATCCTCACGTACGCAGCCGTGATGACCACAAAAGGCAGGGCAAAGGCCAGGAAAAACTGGTACAGGGTGAACCAGTAGAGGTCAGTGTCCGGGTTGGGCAGGCGGATGCCGCAGCCCACAGCACCTCCTGGGAAGGGGATGAGTCTGGCATAGAGCCACACGGGGGTGATGCTGATGAAGGAGAGGGCCCACAGGAGGCAGATCACCAGGGTGGCCACCGAGGGCTTCCGGAACTTTGTGGAGGAGATGGGGTGGACGGTGGCCAGATAGCGGTCAATGGCCATGGCGGTCAGGATGTAGGTGCTGGTGAACTGACTGTTGGCATCCATGGCCGTGATGAGGGTGCACATGGTCTCCCCAAAGTGCCACACCCCATTGCCCATGAGCTGGTGGATCATGAAGGGCATGCCCAGGAGAAAGAGGAGATCCACCACCGACAGGTTGATGACGAAGATGTCGGGGACATTGCTGCACCGGTGCAGCTTGGACTTCTTCACCACCGCGAAGATGACCGTGGAGTTCCCGACGATGCCCAGGAGGCAGATGGTGCCGAACACAGAAGGCATGATGATGTTGATGTAGGAGCTCCCCGTGCGAGAAGGGGATCCTGGGGACGGAAGGAGCAAGTGTCGGCCGTTTGACAGGGGCTCTGCTCTAAGAACTGACATCCTGCCAGCATGCTCAGCCTCCAGCGACCCGTTCATCTGGAATCCTCTCTGTCCATTCTCCCTCCCTTCACCGTTGCTAATCTCGTCCCCTTGCTCTCCTCCTCCATAGGTTTCCTGGTGAATCCTACCAGATTCCCCTGAGCCACCTGTCGTGGAAGGACACGACTCGCCTGCCTCCCGCAGGCACCAGAGGCGAGAACCACAGCTGTCTGCAGAGATTACTCCGTGCGGCCCTGGCTTCACCAGGAAACCTCGTCAAAATAGCCAGAAGGACACAAAAGTAAGTGTGTGTGTGTGTGTGTGTGTGTGTGTGTGTGCGCTTTTCTTATATGCAGCCCTGAGTGTTTCATTTTGGAGATATCTGGTTGGAAGCTGTACTGACTCTTGGGCATCTCTGTGGGCGACTGTCTTATAGAGGCTTGCCGGCTGTGCCCGGGTCAAGCCAGCAGCCCTCCCAGCCCCAGGCTTCCTAGCAGGGATTTCCTTGATTGGCATCTTCTGAGCCTGGGCTTCCCGAGTGGAGCAGAGACAGAAACTGTGTGTTGCAGCTCAGCAGCCTGAAAAAAGGCTCCACGTAAACCTTTCCTCTTTTCCTTCCTTCCCTTCTCCTCCAAAGCTGGAGTCCCAGGGCATCGCAGCTCTAGAAATGTCAGGAAGCTTAATTCACCAGAAAAGTTAATCCCCTCATGGTTCCGTGAAGTCTTCCCTTCCCAGGGCCTCTCCCGGGGGCAGGAAGGATGCCTCAGACCTCATCACCCAAGTGTGAGTAGAACGCCGAGGCTGGCTAACGGTGCGGGAGCGAGCCTCCTGCTGTCTCCCACATACCACCCTCCAGCTTCTCTCGCTTGCTTTTCCAGCCTGGAATTTTTTCTCCCAAGCATCTTTGGAATCCAGCAACCAGCTTTCCCCTGCTGCCTCGCGGCTGGCCCCCTTGTTTGCCATTCTGAACATGCCTTTGCCCGCTGCTCTGCTTCTGCCCGTCTGCCCCTGCGGGCCCCTGACCCCTTCACTCCTGCCCCTTGAGCCAAGCCGACCATGGATCTTGTCCCGGAGAACTATAACAAAGTTTCCCAAGCAGTTTAGCTCAGGGGGGAAAGCTTCCCATTTCCCACCCGCAGCCCAGAGGAGGGAAGATTCCTGGTCAACTCAACTCACCTGCCAAGGTGAGGTTGTGGGGGCCATCAGAGGTATTGCTGGCATTGGGGCCAGTGGACAGCAGCGAGTCTTCCAGGTCCATCCAGCCAGTGCCGGTCTCCTGCTCCCCCAACTGAGCTCAGCTACCCTCTGCCCACGCAGGCTGCGGCAGCCTCCAGCGCCTGCCACCATGTCCCGGAGCGAAAGCCCCGCAGTCAGGAAGGGGGTCTTCCTCAGCAGCCTGGCAGCCTCTGCCGTCTCCAAGCCCAACTGCCCTCCCCACTCCCTCCTTCCCGGCTCCCACTGACATCACCTAGACACATTAACATTCGGAGGCAGATGCACATTAACCTCTTCAGTCCCGGGCGGCGGCTGGCTGCCACTTCTGAACGCCTGCAGAGCCCCAGGGCCCTGGGGAATCCGGGAGGGACTGGGTACAGGCAGCCCCATCAGGAAAGGGATCTCCTTTCCACTGATACTTGGGACTGTCTCGTGTGCTTACAGGGGCTGCCGCTTGCCTTGAGTGGGGATCGAGGTCTCTGCAAAGGCAAACGGGAAAGCAAACGGGCTGCCTCCCTTTGGAGGAGAGAGCAGCCTGGCTTAGCCCCTATTCCTAGTACAAGTGGCTGTGCCACATGGCAGGGTCCAGGGGTAACTGTGCACAGAGCTTGGGACTCAAAGGCTTAGACTGCAGCAGGGCTGCCCCTCACACACACTCAGGGCACCCTCAGCCCCTTCCCCATGCCCTGACGGCTTCCAACCATCTTGCTGGCTATGCCGCCAGCGTCCTGCAGAAGCTGAAGAGTTGGCTGCTGAATCCTTGCCTGGCCCTCCAAGGTGATGCAGGTCACTCCATGCTGGCAGTAGCCAGGACTTCAGGGACTGGAAGGGGACAAACTCCCATCTGCATGGGAACTGCCTGGAACAGGCTCACAGAGGTTTTATTTTTCTAAATGTTCTGAGGTCCCTAAGGTTTGACCTGGGAGTCTTTGAGACAAATATCCGAGCACGAGCCCCCAAAGAGATCATCCCAGAGCATCAGCCTCAGTGGGGAAGGCGTTGAGTGAATTTTCCACAGAGGCATCCTGCTGCAGTCTCTGGGGCCCTCACAGCGAGGAGCTGCCACTGCACCCACCGCTGGACTCGGGAGCCAGGGGCCGGGGTTCACACGGATCCCTACATGCGTCCTCTGTCTTGTCTGCTTATGGGGCTCATTCAACAAACATTTATTGAGTACTTACTACCTGCTAAGCACTGTTCTAGGTTTTGCAGTTAAAAAAAATAGTGGGGGGAGTGGGAGGGATGAAGTCCCGCCCTCATAAAGGTGGCATTCAAGTTGGGGGGAGACAGAAAACATAACCCCCCAAAAGACAATTCATGATATTGGCCATTACTATGAAAAATTTAAAGCAGGGTGAGCCGGCAGGCAAATACCAAGAGAGGTGGAGGTTGCTACTTTATTGAGGGCTGATCATCGAGGAAGGCCTCACGGAGAAGTGCTTCCAGAAAAGTCCTGAAGGAAGTGAGGAAGCATGCTTAGAAATATTCTGGAGGGCCGGGCGCGGTGGCTCAAGCCTGTAATCCCAGCACTTTGGGAGGCCGAGGCGGGTGGATCACGAGGTCAAGAGATCGAGACCATCCTGGTCAACATGGTGAAACCCCGTCTCTACTAAAAATACAAAAAATTAGCTGGGCGTGGTGGCACGTGCCTGTAATCCCAGCTACTCAGGAGGCTGAGGCAGGAGAATTGCCTGAACCCAGGAGGCGGAGGTGGCAGTGAGCCGAGATCGCGCCGTTGCACTCCAGCCTGGGTAACAAGAGCAAAACTCCGTCTCAAAAAAAAAAAAAAAAAGAAAGAAATATTCTGGAGGACCAGCGTTCCCAGCCATGGAAATCAGCAGTGCAAAGGCTCTGGGGCAGAGTGTGCAGAGTGACTCTAGAGAACAGTGTTGGGCTGGGTTCAGTGGCTCACACCTGGGATCCCAGAACTTTGCGAGGCCAAGGTAGGCAAATTGCTTAAACTCAGGGGTTCAAGACCAGCTTGGACAACGTTGTAGAACCCCGTCTCTACAAAAATACAAAAATTAGGCTGGGTGCAGTGCCTCACACCTGTAATCCCAGCACTTTGGGAGGCCCAGGCGGGTGGATCACCTGAAGTCAGGAGTTCAAGACCAGCCTGGCCAACATAGTGAAACCCCATCTCTACTAAAAATACAAAATTAGGCCGGGCGCGGTGGCTCAAGCCTGTAATCCCAGCACTTTGGAAGGCCGAGGTGGGTGGATCACAAGGTCGAGAGATCGAGACCAACCTGGTCAACATAGTGAAACCCTGTCTCTACTAAAAATACAAAAAATTAGCTGGGCATGGTGGCGCGTGCCTATAATCCCAGCTACTCCGGAGGCTGAGGCAGGAGAATTGCCTGAACCCAGGAGGCGGAGGTTGCGGTGAGCCGAGATCGTGCCATTGCACTCCAGCCTGGGTAACAAGAGCGAAACTCCGTCTCAAAAAAAAAAAAAAAAAAAAAAAAAAATTAGCCAGGAATGGTGGCGTGCGCCTGTAATCCCAGCTACTCAGGAGGCTGAGGCAGTTGCTTGAACCTGGGAGGCGGAGTTTGCGGTGAGCTGAGATCGCATCATTGCACTCTAGCCTGGACAATAAGAGTGAAACTCCGTCTCAAGAAAAACAAAAAAGTAGCCAGGCGTGGTGGTGGATGCCTGTAATTCTAGCTACTTAAGCCACTGAGGCAGGAGAATCGCTTGAACCCAGGAGGCAGAGGTTACAGTGAGTCAAGACTGGGTCACTATACTCCAGCCTGGGCAACATAGCAAGACCCTGTCTCAAAAAAAAAAAGAAAAAAGAAAAAATATACTCCAGGTAAAGGTAACTTATGATACTTGGCAAATGCTGTGAAAAGCTTAAAGCAGGGTGAGAGGGTCCAGGAATACCAGGAGAGGTGGAGGTCGCTATTTTATGTAGGATTGATCATCAAGGAAGGCCTCTCTGAGAAGCGTTTCCAGAAAAGTCCTGAAGGAAGTGAGGAAGCATGCTTAGAAATATTCTGGAGGACCAGCATTCCTGGAAATCCCCAAAGGCCGTGCAGCAGGAGCATGCAGGGTGACTCTGGAGAACACTGCAGCTACAGTAGAGATCAGCAGGAGCTGACATTAGAGAGGAAGGAGCGGGAAGGGCAGATTCTGCCAGGCCTTGCCAGCCAGTGTAAGCACTTTTACTTTTCCTTTAGTGGAAACGGGAGTCACCAGGGGGTTTTCAGCTGAGAAAAGACATGATCAGACATGTTTTGAAAGGATCTGTCTGAGCCGGGCATGGTGGCTCACGCCTGTAAATCCCAGTACTTTTGGAGGCAGAGGTGGGGGAACAGCTGAGGTCAAGAGTTCAAGACGAGCCCAGGCAACATGGTGAAACCTTGTCTCTAATAAAAATAACAAAAGTTAGCCAGGTGTGATGGTAGGTGCCTGTAATCCCAGCTTCTCAAGAGGCTGAGGCAGGAGAATCACTTGAACCCGGGAGGCAGAGGTTGCAGTGAGACAAGATTGCACTTTGCACTCCATCCTGGGCAACAAGAATGAAACTCCATCTCAAAAAAAAAAAAAAAAAAAAAAGGATCAGTCTGTTGCTGGGTATCTAAGGAACAAGTTGAGAAGGTGTTTTAGGGCGGGTGTGGGGGCTCATGCCTATAATCCCAGTACTTTAGGAGGCCGAGGTGGGTGAATCACCTGAGGGCAGGAGTTTGAGACCAGCTGGCCAACATGGTGAAACCCTGTCTCTACTAAAAATACAAAAATTAGCTGGGTGTGGTGGCATGCACCTGCAATCCCAGCTACTCAGGAGGCTGAGGCAGGAGAATCGCTTGAACCCAGGAGACAGAGGTTGCAATGAACCGAGATTGTGCCATTGCATTTCAGCCTGGGTGACAGAGCAAGACTGTCTCCAAAAAGGGAGAGGGGTGGGGGGTGGGGGGGAGAGAAGGTGTTTTTAGCTTGGGTTCCCTTGAAAGCAAAGCCTGAGAGCAGGATGTGCATGTGCCTGGTTTGTGTGGGAGATGATCCAAGGTGCAGGTGTCAGGGAGTGGAGTCAATTAGATGGCAAAGGAGGGAAATCCAATAGGAGAGTGTGTTTCAATCCAATAGGAGGGTGTGTGTGGCTGCTTTGGACAACGGAGGCTTGAGTTCTCCAAGATCCTGAAAAAGGGCACAGATGGTCTCCCACCATCATCGGCCTGAAGGATGAGAGGCAGGAACATTTATCCATTGCCCCGCCCCCCACTGGTGAGGATTGCCCCTGGGAGGTTAACTTGGCACTTCTGGGTGCACAGCAGAGCGGGCTCCTGTAGCATCCAGCTCGTATGGGGCAGAAAGCAAAAAGATGTGCAGCTCCCACTTCAGGCAAGAGGCTGAAAGCATTCACCATGGGTGTGGCTGAAGTCAGAGACTGGCAGAGGGAGTGTGATGCAAAAGGCACCAGAAGTGTCGCACGCAGGCCACCCCTTGTCTGCTCAGACCCATTCATGCCCCACTTGACTCTCTGGCGGCATTTTCAGGGTAGGAGCTGGCTGCAGTCTCTACAAAACTTTGTGTGTGTGTGTGTGTGTGTGTGTGTGTGTGTTTATAATTTCAACTTTTATTTTATGCATGTATGTATGTATTTATTTATTTATTTTGAGACAGAATCTCGCTCTGTTGACCAGGCTGGAGTGCAGTGATATGATCTCAGCTCACTACAGCCTCCACCTCCTGGGTTTCAGTGATTCTTCTGCCTCAGCCTCCCAGGTAGCTGGAAGTACAGGTGTGCACCACCACATAAGGCTAATTTTTGTATTTTTAAAAAATAATTTTTGTATTTTTAGTAGAGATGGGGTTTCACCATATTGGCCAGGCTGGTCTTGAACTCCTGACCTCAAGCGATCCACCCACTTTGGCCTCCCAAAGTGCTGGGATTACAGGTGTGAGCCACTGCACCCAGCCAACTCCGCTGGGTTCTAAACACATTCTTCCCTGTCCCGTGGTGTAGCAGCATCCCTGGTTCTTCACGCTAATCAGAGTTGGTTATTCGTACCAGCAGCGTTACTCCATTCTTGCCCTCTCGGTCCACCAGCATGAGGAGCCCACAATGAAACCAGATGGTCATTGAGATTCAGGTTCAGGGGAACTCTCCCTATGTCTCCTAGTGGAGCACCCCTGCTCTCTGATGCCCCCTGAATCACACAGTCCTTGTCCTGTTAGTTCTTCCCTGGAGAACTTAGTTAATGGGTTCTCTAGT